ATCATTCCAGGAGATAATTCAACCAGAAGGCGTTTTTACACCCCTTCACCCTACCTGGAGACTCTTTAGGCAGAAGACCCCTTCACCCAAACACAAGACTGTACACACTGAACATCCATTCACCCTACCAGGGGATTATACATATAGAAGACAACCCTCATCCTACTAGGTGACAATACAGACAGAAGACCCCTCACCCTACCTGGAGACTGTTCAGGCAGAAGACCCCTTCACCCTACCAGGGGATTATACACATAGAAGACAACCTTCATCTTGCTAGGTGACTATACAGGCAGAAGAGCCCTCACCCTATCAGGCGACTGTTGAGGCAAAAGACCCCTCACCCTACCAGCAGACTGTTCAGACAGAAGACCCCTTCACCTTAAAAGGAGTCTGTACAAACTGAACAGGCAGAAGAACCCTCACCCTATCAGGCGACTGTTCAGGAAGAATAATCCTTCATCCGACCAGGTGATTATGCAAACAGGGAATCCCTTCACCCAACCAGGAGACCGTACACACAGGATACCCTTTTCACACTGCAAGCATGTACCAGGAGAATGGAAACATTTTCCCAAGAGTTTCCCTTCACAGCAGCAGGATGTTTACCTTCATACCAGTAGCAGATTTCTCTTCACAGAAGCAGGATGTTTACATTCATACCAGCAGGAGGTTTACCTTCTGACCAGTAGCAGATTTCTCTTCACAGAAGCAGGTTGTTTCACTTTACACGACCAGGGAACTTCGTAAACAAACAATAAAGAAACAATTACATGTGTCAGGAGGTTTGCCAAATAGACAAGTAGGAGACTTGAAGAGCAGATATATAGCGGGAAGAAGATGGCGCTGAAATGCCTCAAATAATGATATATTTACTTGATTTATACACACTTAAAGATATAGAGACTGAAAGAAACTATTAGGTAATAATACACACAGGTAACCCCATCATCCTACCCAGCGATTATACTGATCCCTTCACACTTCCAGGAGATTATACAGACAGAAGACCTGTTCACATCCAAGAGTCAATACAGATATGAAACCCCATTACCCTGTCAGAAACCAGTTCAGGCAGAAGACTCCTTCACCCTACCAGGAGTCTGTACAAACTGAACATCTATTCACCCTACCAGGGGATTATACACATAGAAGACAACCTTCATCCTACTAGGTGACTATACAGGCAGAAGAACCCTCAACCTGCCAGACGACTGTTCAGGGAGAAGACCCCTTCACCCCACCAGGAGACTGTTCAGGCAGAAGACCCATTCATCCTACCAGAGGATTATACAGATAGAGGACAACCTACATCCTACTAGGTGACTATACAGACAGAAGACCCCTCGCCCTACCAGGAGACTGTTCAGGCAAGAGAGACCCCTTCACCCTAACAGGAGTCTGTGCAAACTGAACACCCATTCATCCTACCACAGGATTATACAGATAGAGGACAACCTACATCCTACTAGGTGACTATACAGACAGAAAACCCCTCGCCCTACCAGGAGACTGTTCAGGCAGAGGACCCCTTCACCGTAACATGAATCTGTACAAACTGAACACCCATTCATCCTACCAGGGGATTATACAGATAGAAGATACCCTCATCCTACTGGGTGACTAAACAGACATAAGACCCCTTCACCCTACCAGGAGACTGTTCAGGCAGAAGACTCTTTCACCCTAACAGGAGTCTGTACAAACTGAACATCTATTCACCCTACCAGGGGATTATACAGATAGAAGACAACCTTCATCCTACTAGGTGACTATACAAACAGAAAACCCCTCGCCCTTCCAGGAGACTGTTCAGACAGAAGACCCGTTCACCCTTCCATGAGACTGTTCAGGCAGAAGACCCCTTCACACTACCAGGAGGCTGTTCAAACTGAACATCCATTCATCCTACCAGGGGATTATACATATAGAAGATACTTTCATCCTACTGGGTGACTATTCAGGCAGAAGAACCCACCTGGTTTTTATGCAAACAGGGAATTCCGTCACCCTACAAGGGGATCGTACAAACAGGATACCCTTTTCACACTACAAGCATGTACCAGGAGAAAGTAAACATAGGAGAGTTTCCCTTCACAGAAGCAGGATGTTTACATTCATACCAGCAGGAGGTTTACCTTCTGACCAGTAGCAGATTTCTCTTCACAGAAGCAGGTTGTTTCACTTTACACGACCAGGGAACTTCGTAAACAAACAATAAAGAAACAATACCATGTCTCAGGCAGTTTGCCAAATAGACAAGTAGGAGACTTGAAGAGCAGATATATAGCGGGAAGAAGATGGCACTGAAATGCCTCAATGAATGATATATATACTTGATTTATACACACTTAAAGATATAGAGACTGAAAGAAACTATTAGGTAATAATACACACAGGTAATCCCATCATCTGATCCCTTCACACTTCCAAGAGATTGTACAGACAGAAGACCTGTTCACATCCCAAGAGTCTATACAGACAGAAAACCCCATTACCCTACCAGGAGCCTATTCAGACAGGAGAATCCTTCACCCTAGTAGGTGATTATGCAAACGGGCAACCCCTTTCACTCTACCAGGAGATCAGCAACAGGTTACCCTTCACACCAGCAGGAGGCTTTCCTCCACACCAGCAGCCGATGTCCCAGCAGGGGGGGCTTGTAGACAAGCGATAAAGAAATAATTATCAGGCAATTTGCCAAATATACAAGCATTATGCTTGAAGAGCAGATATATAGCAGGGAGAACATGTCTGAAAGGCCTCAACAAATGATATATTTACTTGATTTATGTATACATATTATATAGAGACCGAATCAAAATATACAGACAGGAACCTCCTCACCCTACAGAGATATGAGACAGACAAAAGAACCCTTCATTATGCTAGGGTGACTATACAGACAAAAGACCCTTTCCCCCTACCAGGAGACTGTTCAGGCAGAAGACCCCTTCACCCTACCAGGAGTCTGTACAAACTGAACATCTATTCACCCTACCAGAGGATTATACAAACAAACAATAAATAAACAAGTACATGTGTCAGGCAGTTTGCCCAATAGTCAAGCAGGGGACTTGAAGAGCAGATACATAGGAGGGAGAGATCATACAGACAGAATAACGCTTCATTCTCCTAGGAGATTTTACTGTACACGAGGAACTGTACCAACGGGATACCCTTTTCACACTACCAGGGGTCTCTACAGTCAGAAGACCCTTCAACCTACAAAGTGTATGTACAGATAGAAGCCCCCCTGATTATGTCATTAGGGACCATTAGGGAAATTATTAGGTAATAATACAGACAGGAATCATCCCACCAGATTATGTCATATAGGGACAACCCTCCCCCCCCCCCCCCTTCACCCTATCAGAAATCTGTACAAACAGGATACCTTGTCACACTACAAACCTGTACCAGAGACGATTATCAGGCTGTTTACCAAATAGGCAAGAAGGGTACTTGAAGTGGAGATATACAACAGGCAGAACATGGCTGACATGCCACAATAAATGATGTAGTTACTTGATTTGTACACACCTAAAGACATGGAGGACATTCAAAAGAAATCATTAGCTGGTTATACAGACAGGGAACCTCTTCATTCTACCAAAATATCATATAGGCAGAAGACCCCTTCACCCTATAAAGTGTCTGTAAGGAAAGAAGACTGACGGCCCCTTTACCCTAGAAGGAACCTGTACATACACCCTAAAACATATTTAAAGACAGAAGACTCTATAAGGAAAATGTACAGATAGGAGCCCCCTTCTCCTAACCAAGAGGATGTGCAGGAATAGGACCACTTCACACTATATGCAGAAATCCTTCTTCATACTACTAAGACTAAAAAGACAAGAATACCCTCATGCTGGTAGTGTGAAAAGGGGTCAGTATAGTCTCCTGGTGGCTAGTTTGTTTGGATTTGAGTCTGATGCGTCAGAAACTTTATGGACAAGAAAACCTTTTCAGAAATTTCATTAAAATTTTCAGACAAGAAGGCCACCTTTACCTTTACACTACCAAGATACTAAGATTCTCTTCACACCATACGAACAGTAACCACCCTTTACCTATTCGAAAACAACCTAGGAAAATAGATATGCAGGGGCTATAAAGACATGAGACCAGACATGACAATGCTATATAAACAAAAAATATGTTTGTTGACATGTGACATGACAATGGATGCACAAAACATTCACGACTGAGCTGTTGCTTGTTAGAGCAGATATATAACAGGGAGAACATGTCTCAATAAATGATATATTTACTTGATTTATGTACACCTATTATAAAGAGGCCGAATCAAAATATACAGACAGGAACCTCCTCACCCTTCAGAGATATGAGAATTGATATTGAGATATGAAATTCCTGGCAACTGTTTCAAAAACATATATACAGTTATTTAATAAAATATGCCTGACGTACAAGGGACTATAGTAATATCAGGTTAAATATTCATATTGATTGAATAAGTACAATTGTGTTTTTTATGGCATTTGTATATTCATGCATAAGATGAAGGAGAACTTATACCAAGTAAATACAATAAAAATGAATCTCTCTCATGTGGTACTGTATTTCATCGTCAGAACATCGTCAGAACATACAAAACAAAACATGAAAAACTGTACTTGACAAAATCAAATTGCATATATTCATACGCATGCATGCACGTGTGCCCGCTTTCCGAACGAAAGAGTGCCATCTTTTTCGTTAAAAAAATGTTTTTATTTTCATATAAAGATTACATTAAGTGATTTGAAAACTGACAGAAACATAAAAAATGAAGTCAAAATATGTTATTATATTTGTTATAAATTGTCCAATGAGACACATTCGTGCACGCGAGGTCGTGCATGTGGAGACTTGCGGTGCGGATGGTGCGGCAACACTGCAGCAGGCCAGGCTCAGTTATACTGTACACGTTTCTGAAACGTCTTGCCAGAGTTGGATTTGGGTGTTGGAATTACGTTGGGATCCTGCTTAATATGGAAATGCCAGAGCCGCTGATCTGTCGTGAAGTAAGCGAATTTTTCAAATTTGAAACATTGAAACGTGCGACACCATTACAGCCATGTGCTGATTCACATCAGGGTATTTAATGCTACACACTGTCTCGTGGAACAAAGTAAAACGTGATTATATTTTAATTGCAAAATGTATGTTTTGTGTTGCTTAAAGGTTAAGAAATTAATTAAATTAAGTTAATATAGGTATAAGGAATATCACAATTAGCAATTGTGCACGATAAACTATTTCCGAATCATACGGAAGTTACGTAAGGGATGTTATGATAATACGACAACGCCGTCTGGTGATGGAAAGTGTAACCAGTGATGAGATATAAATAGAATTAGAACATAATTGAAACAAAAAGTGGAGAATTTGGTAGAATTTACAATAACAACACGTACATTCATTGGAAGTCCCAGATAGCACCTTGGTGACACGGATAACTACCGGAAGTCATACCGAAGAAACAGAAAACAAAGACAGAACAAACACAAAAGCAAACATTTCACATATGTACTTACATTTAATGTGTAGATCCAAAGGAATGATAACTAGAACTTTCCAATCAAAAGAAGGACATTTTTGTACAAATTCCGGGATAGACTGAGTGTCTCCAATTTTTCTAACGAAGACACAAAGGATACTCGTTACATGCCATGAATGAAATGTGATGTTGGTCCACAAAACATATCCCACCCACCCCACACCTCACTTCCAATATTCAATAGTCTGTCCAATATACAAAGTAAATATTTAATGTAACTTAATATATATATAAATACATATGGTGTTTCATACATCTATACAAAACACCAAGCAAGTCGCAACACGTTTAAAGACATAGCCTATTTCGGAAAAGTGTAGAGGATTATTACGCAGTGGTGTGGTTGAACAAACATAGTTTTAATGAACTCTGTGAATTACATTTAACAAAAATAATAAACAAAACATAATTTATACACATCCCAGTTTGTCCCTTATCGAAATAGTGTTAATATAAAAATTATATCCACGCCACCTCGTTGAATGATCAGGGGATTAAATACATAACATTGAATTGTATTCCACTACTTATTCCTGATTATGTTAAAGGCCTCCATTTAACGGCTAAATTATTATTAACTGTTCCACTTTAAAAGAAATAAGCTCCAACGTTCGAGTGAGCGAGTGAGTGAGTTGGGTTTAACGCCGCTTTTAACATTATTACAGTTATATCACGTCGTGTCAGCTTGATGTGGGAGGAAAGCCCGAAGTGATGCAGGTCTCAGACGTTTACCACTTTGGTGAAACCCACGAGCACGAGTATGGTGCTGACAAACCTAGAAACATAATCGGGGTGAACCGGGATTCGAACCCACAATCATAGGTTTCTGGCGTGTCCAGGGGACGCAACTCTGCACAGCGAATTGCGGCGCCTGAGACGACTGGGCCACCCGTGCCCCTTCCAACGTTCGAGGGGTATGGCGGATAGGAGACTAAACAAATAGGAAAGAGATGAGGTGAAATGGGGTTCAAGGTTATGCCATTATTATAGTTACGTGCATTCACGTGTGTGTGTCCGTACGTACGTGCACGTGTGTATGTGTGAGTGTGTGTGAGTTTGTGTGTGTGTGTATGCGAGTGAGTGAGTGAGTGAGTGATCGAGTGAGTGAGTGAGTGAGCCAGGCAGGGTAACAACTATCTTTCATCGTAATTAGTTTGACCTGTAGAACACGTGTGGGACGCGACTGAAAGCAGGATACGAAGTCTACCTGTGCTAGTTAACGTCCAACAATTCCAGTGGCATTCACTTGCAATACCTTACCACCATACCTTTTAGGTTCAATCCGAGACGATGTGCAGCCGTACGATAAAACAACGGGGGCCATCGCGTTACTGAATACGATTAAAAAACATAGAACTAATTTTAGTTTTCAAACGTAAATATGACTTCGAAATACAGTCTTAAGTCAAATTATATATTTTTCTATGTGGCCCTTCCAATTGTTAACTGTTACTATTGAAAACGTTGAATTGTGTGAATTTATATATTAGTTTACATAACCATTTGAAGATAATAATTTTGTTACAGTTGGCAAAAGCCCTGGAGCTTAAAGAATACATAGAAACCTCCGCCCTCCAGGAACTGCTCTTTCGCAACCCCGAACGGTACAGAAATGTTATCTGTGACCGAAATCAAGACGCGGCACAGTTGGCACTAACATTGCCAGCCAACCTTCAGTATCAAACTCAAGGTGTAAGTGTTCACATTTTACTCTTTGTATGTTTGTGAAAAGTGATATTACGTGCTTATGAAACCCTGTGTGGATTCCGAGAGAGACTAGGTCCCAGTACACCAAATAACGAGGATGCAAGTACGAACAGTTAGGTCAACATATCATTTTTTTAAATAATAATTATCTTTTTTATTCAGCCATTGAGGGAGCAACAACAGATCTTCCGCATGTTCATTGAATATAGTCTATACTCAGGAATGAGCATCACGGCAGCATTGGATACGATACAGACAGCGCTGAACAAGTTCTTGGCTTATCTGTCAGCAGCCAGCGGATGCGATGTTGGTGGAAATGCTAGGACACGAATGAAGGAACATCGGTGCCGAAGATAGTGTGCAATGCTTAGTGAAAGAACAGATATGTAGCAGTGTCTGGGTTAACACAACTGGAACGAATACATGACTTTAGCAATCCGGCGAGGCAGGTGGGGTACACCAAAACCATGTCGTGTTGATACACCAGACACTTGTCAGAAAACTCAAGTCAGACAATTGTGCAATTGTCACTGCAAACACGAAAACGTCGTTTTTTTTCGTATATGGTTATTTGGACGTTTTCAAACCATCGTTTTTCCGTCCAAATAACGTCGTTATTTGACATCGGCATTTACTGGGAGAGAACGATATCATCAAGCTCCTCCCTTTCTTGATTGACATTGTCAATCAAGCAACAGCGTCTACCGGTATTTCTACTTCTCAGATTTCATTTGTCAGTTCTCGCGTGTTAGATTACAGGCCCGCGTTTGACGCTGCACAAGTTTTGCTCTTCATTTTAATAACTTTGTGTTCACATATACATGTAGCAATACCCGACAAGCCTGTCGTACATAATTATGAGGCAGTTTTCAATCTTGTACTGACTTACTCTGGTGTTCCTGAGCGAAGCTTTTTGGCTTGGGTGTTACTTCCCGTTTTTCTGGTAATCCTATTATTACTCTATCTTTTATGTAATGACACCCTGTGCACTCACGGCTCCGTGACTATCCATAAGGCCACAGTCAGTCAAAAACAAATGCTGTGAGGTTTGATTACACACTTCTACCAGGTCGAACATCGTGGATCCTCATTTTGAGAATCAAAGTTCATATGCTAATCCATCTGCGAATACCGTCCCGCTGAAGATGACCTTACTTGTTTCTAAAACAATCATCTATACCCAACTCTCCCCATTTTTAGCCATTTTTATGCTGTACAATTCTTCAATGATCTCTCTTATCTGTCTGTACCATCAACTGTGCCCTCACCACCTGCAATTTACCCGTCCAATATTGCCAAGCAGGTCACCCACAAAGAGGAATACGGCCCTCCCTCATTCCAGTTGTACCGTGCCTAGCACAATATGTTGTGGTGCCTTGCTGTGGTCAAACATTTTGTAACAATTTGGCAAACTTTGATATGTAAACAGCAAATATAATTCAGTTTTATTTCAATAAAAACGATTAAAATCCTACTTATTTTGTGGATACCATAACAATAAATCAAACTAATAGATCGTTAGAGCTAGCATGAATATAAAAAATATTTAGCAAGTCGATAGTTATAATTAAATCATGAAATTAACGCAATAATAAGTCAGCACATTAATGCGAGTATAGAACCCTGGCTTAAAATGCGTCATGACATTTATGAGAGTAGCCTTTCAAAAATCACCGTAGACTCACAATTCAATAATGTAGTATTGGCTGATAGACGTTCGACCGAATAATATCATTTGCTAACTTCAACTGTTCATCTCATTTCCATTAATGTATGTTACATAGTTAATATGTTCATGGGCTTCATCACTGAATGTATAGTGTGGAGGACTACTTCAGTTGAGGATAAGTAACATAAATAATGATATTATTATGCTATTATCATTATTATTCCTTCAGATTATTAAAAAAAGTTATTATGTTTTCATATTAAACATAGAGAAAGAGGTATGGAGATTGTGGAAGATATTTTTAGCACAGGAATTGTTAACATAATTCTTAAAGATATTATGTTTTGTTTGTTTGTTGATTAATGCCAAACGCAGCAACTTAAGGATATTACAACATACATACATTTAGGTTCAGTTGTATTTTTAAATTTGTATTATTTTGCAAATGTTACAGAGACCTGATAAGCGATATAATAATGTATAGTCGCTATTCTTAAAAGTATGAATATGTTAGATTCATCAACCAGAAATATTGCACACCAAAGGATAATCATATTTCATGACACTATTCTACATCAAAGTCAACGATATTTGTGTATGCCATTGCTACATGATTAGCTATGACACGGATACGTCATGATAAAGTAATGAGAAATTGATATTTGATGATATAAGATAGCAACGCGATAAATCGCAAAGAACAATGAATGAAGCGATATTTATTTCACGATAAAATATTGTTCTATCATGACGTCATTTATGGAGATTCGAACATGCACTCGCAACTTGAAAACGTCGTAAATTTGCCCTTATATTTGAGAGGTATTTGTCTAGTGTGTTGTTTCTAAGAGATGTAGCTGGGGAAGGTAGATAAAGGCAGTGACCGAACAATCGCATCCGAAAGTGAGAGCGAAATGGCAATCGGTATCGGGAGAAAGGTACAGATAACCGACGAGAAAATTGTGAGAATATGACCAAACACCAAAAGAAAGACCAAATTCAAAAACCTCCTGTTCATAATGTCAACAGGCTTGTGTTGACGGGGAATTAGCTCTTGGGGGAATAAAGGACAACATCGACATCACTGTCCCGGAACGCTTTATGCACAACATGTAAACAATAAACAACAATTGCACAATGAGCGGAATACCTGCTCTGACAACACAAACACAGCGATGAGCGGACCTTCCAGCTCAGGCGTACAAGAGGTGAGCGGAGCTCCAGCTCACCTCAGGGCGTTTCCTACGAGCGGCACATCCTGCTCGAGGTCGTCCCTATGCATCAGGTTTGTCTGTCATACAGACCCCGAAACAAATATGTCCAATACAGCCCAATATTTGGCAAAATGAAGAAGGTCTCTCGGCTCCTTTTTATTATATTTTATAACTATTGTTTAATAACTGTTTTTTTTCTGTCAAATATGTTCCTTTCAGAGATTAGATGTTATTCTAGCATCAGGTCTGCGGTACGTTCACTACATCAGCGTTGACATTGAAACGATATTTACATATATAAATACATACAGAGGAAATGCATTTACCTTTTAAGGAAGAGTGCAGGGCGACTTGTTTAATACATATATATCTGGAGATATATGTATGGACATTAGGATGAATATAGATACACCTCCTTATAGATAGTGTTCGTAGATGATTGTAGAACGTGCATGAAGAAAATGGAATAATTATATGAGTAATCGGGCTAATACCACGTTTAACAATATTCAGCCATATTGCGATATTGGTTTCCAACATATAAGAGAGACCATGAAATTATGACTTGAATTTGGAACTGGCTTTCTGGTGTGTTGTAACACCCCATAATCTCCTGTAGAAAAAGAGCTTAAAGCACGAATAAAGATCACAAGATGATACTGATGTGCATTCATCTGGACATATATTTGCGTAGTATTACTACGTTAATTCATCAGTATATATGTATTTTGCGCAAAAGGATATTGTAGGAACGACGCTGACATGCGCATATAACCTAGTCACCAGTGCTGTAATATTTAATTCATTTGTATTTTGACACATATCGATAGGAACATGGAGAGTCTGTCTGAAGATATATAGACATGCATGGGATCTTTTGGATAGTTGTACCTCACGGCTAGACTAACGCTTAGTCTCTGAAAATAAACTGACGTCCAAAAGAAGCTTTACCAGAGTTTGAAATCACTCTTGCTAAAAAACAACAACACATACATGCATGAAGTAAAGTGTATTGAGAAAATCAATATATCAACATAATCAACACTGAAAATGACAATCATACCGCGACCGAGAATGACGTCAGAGCCCCCCAAAGTTAGGTGTGGTACAAAACTCGAGCTTTCAGAAACATGGACAATAGGCAGAGTACATAAACAATCGCTCGCGTTCAATAACAAGTCATTAGTAGCGTGTGTGACCACCAAATGCCGCAATACACGCAAAAACTCTTCGACGCACAAAAAAAGTCAGTCGTCTGATGAGGTCACGTGGGATTTGACGCCATTCTTCTTGGAGGGCCAAGATCAGTTCTTGCCGGTTGGCTGGAGAGTGTGGTCGTTGTCGAACACGACGATCCATCAAGTCCCAGAGGTGTACTATGGGGGATATGTCGGGTGAGCGTGCAGGCCACGGCAGGGCGTTGACGTTGTTGACTTCGAGGAAGTTCGTGACAATTCTGGCTGTATGGGCTCTAGCGTGGACATGCTGATAAATGACACCACGAGGCTGCTGTTAGAGAAATGGTAGGGCAACTGGACGAAAAATGTGATCCATTTAACGCTGAGCTGTCACGTTCCCGTCAACGATGACCAGCGGTGTCCTCACCTGCCCACAGATCCCTCCCCAAACCATGACACTCCCTCCACCATATGTTAAAAGAGGCGTTGAACACAACTCACTCACTCACTATTCCGGGATGAACAACTCCGTTGAAAGCGCTATGATGACAACGATGATCTCAAAGCTGCCGTGAATGGGTTTTCCAAGGTGGCTTCAGAAAACTTTCTCCTGACTAGAATTGAAAAGCTTCACTATCGATATGAGAAGTGTATTAAAAAGCAGGGAGGTTATGTTGAAAAATAAAATTATAAACACTTTCACAATTGTTGGTTTTGTTTGTTAGGCTTTCCGACTTTTCGACCATCCCTTGTATTTGCGATTGACAATAAAAGAGCTAGTTCTTCACCATCTGTAAAACTTGAGAAATTGTTATTTTAAACTGAACATATGTCAAATACAGAACATCTTATCCTCAACATCAGTTGTGCAAATAAATCTTACACTAGATTCAGGAGGCGTATTGCAGTACATATAGAGTGAATACCCTGCTCCTGCTCCTAAACACGGAAAGCGCTTCACTGTTACTGCGTGGCGTACTGTCTGTAATGTGGCCTTTAGCTCCAAAGTCTGTCTTAAAGGTGCAGGAAACTCGGGAGTTTATTTTCCCCCTGCCATTTGTGCTACAAGGACAGATTATTGTCTTGTCCCAATCTTCTTCTTATTTCTTGAAAACGACGTTCTGTGCAGTAGATACACTAGTTTTAATCTTGAGTCCGTTGGAAACATCAAACACATGAGGTTGCTTGGGATCTACATTATTACCCGGAATGACCGCCTCCATATGCTCCAGTGGATAGGGAGTGTGCCGGGAGCGGAGAGAGACCTGGTTCAACTCCAATACGCGTCATGACAAAATATGTGGTATTTGTTGTTTAAAATGTGGTATTTGCAGTTTCCCTGCCTGGCAGTATACTTTGTCTGAGCGGATAATAGATATTCAACTACGGCATGGTATCTCAGAGGGCTATCACTATAATACCAGCATTAGTCCGGAAAAATACAAACTAACAGCAACACACACAAACACAAACGTGCATGAACCTCGTGGCATTAGTGCAATAATCTTGAACACGACGTTAAACCTCATTTCACACATCTTAGTCGAAATTCTCTATTATACACTGTGTATGAGTGACAAAACCGTTGACAGTTCAACCTAAATTATTACTCATAACCACCAATTGGATATCCAAACAGACCATACGTAAATTGAAGCAAGTCACTTTTAGTTTCTTTTCTTGAGAGACATTTAGAAGTTGGAGTTCTTATTCAGGCCTAGATGCATGGATAAACAACTTCTTTAATAGAACTAGGCGCGACGTTTGGGTTAAGGTTCTAACACATTTTGCTTGATAACGGTGTTAGAACCTTCAACGAAACGTCGCTCCTGATTGTAATAAATAAGTTGTTCATCCATATATTGTATCCTTATTCAAGTCATTATCAGGCTGCAGTACATGCCATCGTCTAGAGAATATAAATATATGTCGTTTTCGTTGGCACATATATACGCATTATATCTCAATTACAACAATATCTCATATCACTGTAAACTTTGTATGGTGATAAATGCCATCTCAAAATGCATAAAGCCTTTGATATAAAAACAAGAAATGTAAACATGCATAATCATTTTATTGAGACATGATTCATATTATGTTCGATATGTTCATAAAACTTGATCATCTACCGAAACATGACTTCTTATCCCAATTGCGTGGATCGATGCTCTTGATGTAAATCACTGGATTGTCTGGTCCAGACGCGATTATTTACAGACCGCCGTCATACAGCTGGAATATTGCTGAGTGCGGCGTTAAACAACAAACAACCAACCAACCACCTACCGAAACACATTCCATTTGGTGCAAAAGGCAATATAGTGATTGAAATGATATGAACGGATCACTGAAAATAACCCGTTGTTTTATCTTGATGTTTATATTATGCTGATGCTGTAAATGGTGCAATATAACATGGTGCTGTCACGTTCTTGCACGTCATTTCAGATCCTTTCAGGTCTTAGCAGATTTATGTCAGGCAGGGACTCCTAATCGCATAGCAGAGTTACACTTGTAGATTACTCTCACGGTTTGGTTTCGCAGTTATAGAGGGCCTAAACAGGGAAAATGTCAACTTTCATCTCTTCATGCATTCTGAGCACGTTCATTGCATACTGCAACCAGTATGCATTTCGTGAACTCGTGTCTTCAAATACTACGAAATATGACTATAAAATGAATGTATAAATCTTGAATTGCGATCATAATGACACTAAGTAGAATGTTTTCATAACGTCAAAGAAGAAAACTCAAGGGGCTAAAAAAATAAAAGAAACGGGGCCTTTCTCGTCTTCCTTGTTTCTATAACTGTTGACAAAAGGACGATTCGGTGCCTTTCTTGGACTGCCTGGTTTATAATTTACTCGCAAGCGCTGTTTCAATACCTTTTCGGAAAAACAGAACTCTTCCCTGCTACCAATACTATTCTGGATTCTAGAAAGGATACATGCCTCTTTAAGACATTCAACAGAAGAAATATTTTGGACATTCGTGAGTGCACTAACATTAATTCTAGGCCTGTTATTTATTGGGTCTGCCACTTACTTGACTCGTTGTATTGCTTTCTGATTGTAAACCTAAATCTGTGTGTTTAAATATAATTTGTTGAACTTGTGTCAGTGTGACTAAAAGTGATAGTTCCGAGATGACATAACAACAGAACTACCCCATGACATGGATCTTAAACAAGCACAACTGAAGTATCATGGAGTTACTTCCCTTTGACCGTTTTGAACTTGTCAGCAGTTTGAGAGGTACGTTGAAGTATGTTGATGGTGGTCTTATGAGTCAGTGAGTATGGTTTTACGCCGCTTTTAGCAATATACCAGCAATATCACCTCGGGGGACACCAGAAATTTGGCTTCGCACATTGTACCCATGTCGGGAATCGAACCCGGGTCTTTGGCGTGACGAGCGAACGCTTTAACCACTAGGCTACCCGACCGCCCCTGTGTGGTCTTATGACTTATACACACCTAAAAATGACAACAACATATTACTTTCGTCAGAGACACATCAGGTACCAAACCGTAATTTTAGATCTTAGTGCGTGTTGAATTATTTGAGATCAATTAAAACTAATGCTCGAGAGTCCGGTTAGCATTTAGGCTTTGCTGTTCCAAAATTAACACAAACTTACGAGACCTGTAGACTCGCTCTTCGGAACACAGCCATAACCTACAAGTCAGTACCCTTCCCCTCACCGAACGTTGTGTAAGGCATTAACATCAAACAGCACCAAGAGGACTTGGCTCAGAGAAAATGAAAACAGGTTGTCCCTGCGTCAAGAAAGGATAATGGACACTCTGTTCTTTAACCTTATCAGGCCAGAGGGCAACTCACAAATGCTTGTTAAAAAGATATTTTAGATATGGCAACATAATTAGGCAAGAATGCTCAATTACACAAATTGACCAAATAGACAGACAAACAAGAGATCGTTCATTAGCACTAGCTTACAAGACTTGAAGAAATGTTCTCAGAAACATTGGCATGTACATCATTTCAGTACTCTTCTCCTAGTCGTGCGTGGTGAACAAGCACTATCATCCAGCAGCACCAAGATAACTCAAGAGGCTCAGACAATGAAAACGGCTTTTCCCTGAAAGAAGAAAAGATACATGAACAGTGAACATTCTGTCCAAACGGAAAGCTCACACATGTCTATATTTAAACAAAATCTGTTCAATATACATCAAATACACTAGGCTTCAAAACCTGCTTATTGGTCAAAATGATATTCAAGTTGCTATAGGTAATTTGAAATTTGTTGAAGCATCGAAAACCCATTTTCTCAAAAAGTGTCATATGTTATGTGTATATCAGATTAAATACTGTTAAATCACAACATAAAGAACAAGAGTGCTCTGAGAGCACAACATCCCCCGCATGAATGTTTTTAACGAGTTGATTTCAAAAGCTTAGTACCTTCTCTCACAATTAGGCAAATGAAGCTCCGTAAAACAGGGGCAGTAACTCTGTCAAAATTTGTCGAAAGGAAACGGGACTGCGATATGCGTATAATCAACATGTCAACATCTTGTGTGTAGAGTGTCAGGGATTTTCTCTAAAAGCTAGAGGAGGAGTTGATTTCACAAGCTTAGTACATCTCTCACAATTAGGCAAATGAAACTCCGTAAAACAGGGGCAGTAACTCTGTTAAAAATTTGTCGAAATGAAACGGGACTGCGATATGCGTTTCATCAACCTGTCGACATCTTGTGTGTAGAGTGTCAGGGATATTCTCTAAAACCTGGAGGAGGAGTTGATTTCACAGACGGACGGACAGACAGACAGACAGACAGACAGACAGACAGACAGACAGACAGACGGACGGACTGCGCCTCGATATAATCCCCCTTCGGCCATTCTGGCCCGATGGGAGATAAAAACAGACATCCAAAATAGGTGGTTAAAGTGAACACTGTTTCACTAGAACCAATCAAGGTAACTGGGCACTCCCATCCACTAACATATTTAATATTTGTTTCAAATAAATTATCTTAGAAAAGAAAGATGACAGTAAACCAGTAAAATTGTTGACTAAAATATCAATGTATCTGACATTGGTATTCTAGTCAACACATTTACTGATTTACTGTTAAACATTTCAGACAACCAATACACTTTTTCTTAGATTTCCAGGACACTATAGAGACATGAGACCCTTCTTTAGATTACCAGACGACTTCAAAGACAGCAGAACTACCGGGACACCATATATACATGGGACCCTCCCTCACAATACTTAAGGCCCTCTTTCACAATATCAGGTGACTATAAAGACATGAGGCACTCCTTCAGGCTACCAGGGAACTATAGGCATGATACCCTCCGTCAGACTTCAAGGGGACTATAGAAACATGAGACCCTCTTTCGCAATAGCAGGAAACTTCAGAGACGTGAGACCCTCCGTCAGACTATCAGGAGACTATGGGCATGAGACCCTACGTCAGACTACCAGGAGATTGTTGAAACTTCAGATGATTCTCATTTAGACTACCAGGGGACTATATAGTAAAAAGGTCCTCCTTCAAATAACCCGGGGACTATAGAGACAGTAGGCCGTCTTTTGGATTACCAGGACACCATAGAGACATAAAACTTTTAGACTACCCGGAGAATATAGAGAGACGAGACCCTACCCTACCCTACTACTTATCCGGGGGACTATATAGACTTGAGACTCTCCCTCCGACAACCAGGGGACTACAGGCATGAGACCCTCCTTCAGACTACCAGGGGACGTTTGAGATATGAGACCCCCCTTCAGACTACCAGGGGACTATAGGCATGAGACCCTCCTTCAGACTACCAGGGGACGATAAAGACATGAGACCCTCCTTCAGACTACAAGGGGCTCAAGAGACATAAGACCCGTCTTCAGACTACAAGGGCACTATAGAGACATAAGACCCTACTTCAGACTACAACGGGACTAAAGAGACAGGATACCCTCCTTGCAGATTACAAGGAGTCTATAGAGACATGAGACACTACTTAAGACTACCAGGAGCTGAATTATGATAAGCATAATGTTCAGTTGCTGAATATCAAACGATACATGTCTGCACGTATGATTGAGAAAGAACGTAAAAATAAGATTATATTGAATTATTCCCAGTTAGAATCAAGGTGAATTACTTACTTTTGTTTGCATGGTGACTTGGATAGTTCATATTAATTAATTAGTCGTTTTCAGGAGACAGAATAAATCTTAGAATATATAATCACACTACCCTAATGTGAAACTCTAAATAATATAGAGTTATTTCCCTTTGATCATGCATTTGTGTGCATGTGACTATCCCTACAACTTGAGGTGAACAGAAAAATAAAGCTTGTCATGGTGTCGTATATGGCAACAAGGTCTATGTACGCCTGAACAATAGGAGGCTACAAAGAGACAAGACTCCCCACACTTTAACAGAAGACCTTGCAAACAGATGAAAGACACATCGGAAGTTTGAGCCTTCAAACAGGAGATTCTCTCACCACCTCATATAAACAGAGTTCTAATCGACACATATTTGTTATTACAAACATGCAAGAAACCCACCAAAAAGAAGAATCTAACAAACGGGAGAATATGCTTGTAGGTGGCTCCCCTATTGTCCATTTGCACACAAGATCATCATTCACACCATTACATATAAGAATATGGATACCATCAGAAGAATGAACTTGCACCAGGAAGCAGAGCAAGCAGGCAATTCGAATTATCAAACCATAAGCCATCAGACAACAAGGGGATTCCTATCATTTAAAATATTAGTCATGCAAAAAAGAGTTAAGAAAACCACTTTCAGTCAATCAGTAGATTCACTCAGTAGCCTTCAACAAACAGCTATGAAATCCTACTTCATAATCAAGAAACCATCCAGAAATACAATCAAAATGATTCCCTTAACGAAGGATCCCAAGCAGTCAGGTTACCATTGGCTCAAGCAGGATGTTCAATTTCACATCAGGAGTAGGTTCACCTTCACACCAGCAGAAGGTTACCCTTGGCAGCGACAATTTCCCCTTCACACAAGCAGAAAGTTTCCCTTCACACCAGGAGGTGGTTTCACAGAAACAGGAGGTTTCCCTTTACACCAGCAGGGACCTGGCAAACAAGTGACAAAGATACATTTACCAGGTAGTTTGCCAAACAGACAAGCAGGGGGCTTGAAAAGGAGACATACAACAGGGAGAACATGGCTTACATGCCTCAATGAATGATATATTCACTTGATTTATACACACTTGAGGATATAGAGACTGAAATAAACTATTATCAATTATACACACAGGTTACCCCATCATCTTACCCAGCGATTATACTGACCCCTTCATACTTCAAGGAGATTATACAGACAGAAGACCTGTTCACATCCCAAGAGTCTATACAGACAGAAAGCCCCTTACCCTACCAGGACCCTGTTCAGTCAGAAGAATCCTTCACCCTAGTAGGTGATTATGCAAACAGAAACGCCCTTCACTCTACCAGGAGATCAGCAAGGGGTTACCCTTCACACCAGAAGGAGGTTTCCCTTCACACCAGCCGTGAGGTTTCCCTTCACACAAGAAGGAGGTTTCCCTTCACACCAGCAGAAGGTTTCCCTTCACACCAGCCGGGAGGTTACCCTTCGCACCAGCTGGGAGGTTTCCCTTCACACCAGCAGGAGGTTTCCCTTCATACCAGCCGGGAGGATACCCTTCACACCAGAAGGAGGTACCCCTTCACACCAGTAGCAAATTTCCCAGCAGGGGGCTGATAGACAAGCGATAAAGAAATAATTATCAGGCAATTTGCCAAATATACAAGCATTATGCTTGAAGAGCAGATATATAACAGGGAGAACATGGCTGAAAGGCCTCAATAAATGACATATGTACTTGATTTATGTACACATATTATATAGAGACCGAATGAAAATATCAGGTGATCATACAGACAGTAACCTCCTCACCCTACAGAGATATGAGAGAGACAAAAGAACCCTTCATCATTCCAGGAGATAATAGAACCAGAAGGCGTTTTTACACCCAAGAGTGTATTACAGACAGGCGACCCCTTCACCTTACCTGGAGACTGTTTAGGCAGAAGACCCCTTCACCCAAACAGATGACTGTACACACTGAACATCAAATCACCCAGGGGATTATACCGATAGAAGACAACCTTCATCCTACTAGGTGACAAGATAGACAGAAGACCCCTCACCCTACCAGGAGACTGTTCAGGCAGAACACCCCTTCACCCTACCAGGAGTCTGTTCAGGCAGAAGAACCCTTCACCCTAACAGGAGTCTGTACAAACTGAACATCCATTCATCCTACCAGGGGATTATACAGATACAAGATACCTTCATCTAATGGGTGATTTTCAGGCAGAAGAACCCTCACCCTTCCAGGAGACTGTCCAGGAAGAATAATCCTTCATCCAATCTGATGATTATGTAAACAGGGAATTCCTTCACCCTACCAGGAGACAGTACACACATGATACCTTTTTCACATTACAAGCATGTACCAGGAGAATGTAAACATAGGCGAGTTTCCCTTCAAAGCAGCAGAAGGTTAACCTTCACACCAGGAGGAGGTTGAGCGGGGGACCTGGTAAACATATGATACAGAAAAGAACACTTATCAGGCAGTTTGCCAAATAGACTAGCAAGGGACTTGAAGAGCAGATATATAACAGGGAGAACATGGCTGAAATGCCAAAGACATGGACAGATAGAGACTGGAAGAAACAATTAGGTGACAATATAGACAGAAACCTTCTCACCCGACCAAGAGATTATATATACAGAATGCCGCTTCATCCTTCCAGGAGAATATACAGAAAGAAGAGGACCTTTCCCCATGAACCTATACAGACAGAAGACCCCTCCCCTACCAGAGGCCTGTTCAGGCAGAAGACTCCTTCACCCAAAAAAAACGACTGTATATACTGACGATCCATTTGCTCTACCAGGGGATTATGCAGATGGAAGATACCATCACCCTATCAAGAAATTATACTGCAGGAGACCCCTCACCATAACAGGAAACTGTTCAGACAGAAGACCCTTTCACCCAAACAGAAGGCTGTACATGCTAAACATCCATTCACCCTACCAGGGGATTATACAGATAGAAGATGCCTTCACCCTATCAGGAGACCGTACACACAGGATACCCTTTTCACGCTACAAGCATATACCAGGAGAATGTAAACATAGGAGAGTTTCCCTTCACAGCAGCAGGAGGTTTCCCTTTACTCCAGTAGCAGTTTTCTCTTCACAGAAGCAGGTTGTTTCCCTTCACACGAGCAGGGAACCTCGTAAACAAACAATAAAGAAACAATAACATGTATCAGGCAGTTTGCTCAAAAGACAAGCAGGGGACTTGAAGAGCAGAGATATAACAGGGAGAACATGGCTGAAATGCCCCAAGACATGATCTATTTACTTGATTTAAGTACACCTATAATAAAGAGACTGAAAGAAATTATTAGGTAATAATACAGACAGGAATCATCCCATCCTACTGAGAGATTATACAGACAGAATATCGTTTCATTCTTCTAGGTGATTTTACTGTACACGAGAAACTGTACCAATGGGATACCCTTTTCACACTACCAGGGGTCTCTACAGTCAGAAGACCCCTTCAACCTACCAGAGGCCTGTTCAGGCAGAAGACTCCTTCACCCAAGAAAACGACTGTATATACTGACGATCCATTTGCTCTACCAGGGGATTATGCAGATGGAAGATACCATCACCCTATCAAGAAATTATACTGCAGGAGACCCCTCACCATAACAGGAGACTGTTCAGACAGAAGACCCTTTCACCCAAACAGAAGGCTGTACATGCTAAACATCCATTCACCCTACCAGGGGATTATACAGATAGAAGATGCCTTCACCCTACCAGGAGACCGTACACACAGGATACCCTTTTCACGCTACAAGCATATACCAGGAGAATGTAAACATAGGAGAGTTTCCCTTCACAGCAGCAGGAGGTTTCCCTTCACAGCAGCAGGAGGTTTCCCTTCACTCCAGTAGCAGTTTTCTCTTCTCAGAAGCAGGTTGTTTCCCTTCACACGAGCAGGGAACCTCATAAACAAACAATAAAGAAACAATAACATGTATCAGGCAGTTTGCCCAAAAGACAAGCAGGGGACTTGAAGAGCAGAGATATAACAGGGAGATCATGGCTGAAATGCCCCAAGACATGATCTATTTACTTGATTTAAGTACACCTATAATAAAGAGACTGAAAGAAATTATTAGGTAATAATACAGACAGGAATCATCCCACCCTACCGAGAGATTATACAGACAGAATATCGTTTCATTCTTCTAGGTGATTTTACTGTACACGAGAAACTGTACCAACGGGATACCCTTTTCACACTACCAGGGGTCTCTACAGCCAGAAGACCCCTTCAACCTACAAGGTGTCTGTACAGATAGAAGCCCCCCTCACTCTAGTGAGTGATTATGTCATATAGGGACACCCCCCCCCCCCCCCCCCCCCCCCCCCTCACCCTATCAGAAATCTGTACAAACAGGATACCTTGTCACACTACAAACCTGTATCAGGGACGATTATCAGGCTGTTTACCAAATAGGCAAGAAGGGGACTTGAAGTGGAGATATACAACAGGCAGAACATGGCTGACATGCCTCAATAAATAATGTAGTTTCTTGATATGTACACACCTAAAGACATGAAGAACAGACTGAAATAAATCATTAGTTGATTATACAGACAGGGATTCTCTTAATTCTACCAAACAATCATACAGACAGAAGACCCCTTCCCCCTATAAAGTGTATGTAAAGAGAGAAGACTGACGGCCCCTTTACCCTAGAAGGAGCCTGTACATACACCCTAAAAACATATTAAAAGACAGAAGACCCTATAAGGAAACTTTACAGATAGGAGGCCCCTTCTCCTTACCAAGAGGATGTGCAGGAATAGGACAACTTCACACTATATGCAGAAATCCTTCTTTTATACTACTAAGCCTAAAAAGACAAGAATACCCTTATGCTGGTAGTGTGAAAAGGGGTCAGGATAGTCTCCTGGTGGCTAATTTGTTTGGATTTGAGTCTGATACGTCAGAAACTTTATGGACACGAAACCTTTTCAGAAATTCCATTAAGCTATTCAGACAAGAAGGCCACCTTTACCTTTACACTTCCAAGATACTAAGACTCTCTTCACACCATACGAACAGTAACCATCCTTTACCTATTCGAAAACAATCTAGGCAAATAGATATGCAGGGGCAATAGAGAAACGAGACCAGCCATGATAATGATATACAAACAAAAAATATGTTTGTTGACATGTGACATGACAATGGATGCACAAAACATTCACGAGTGAGCTGTTGCTTGTTTCTTCACATGAGATGAAAAGACAACCAGCAGTGACCTTTGTTAATTGCATGCAGTGATTTCAAAACATGACAAGAAACAAGAGTCAGTTTTGATCGCAATTTTCAGATTCGGCTCCTTCGGGTTTCAACCTGTCATCTGAAATGGCGAATGAAACACAATATTATAGAGTGTACGAGTGTCCGAAAAGTATGTTATGGTCTGATGATGAAAACGTAAGGACATGCAAATGGATGTTTTGTTTACTTTATTGTAATTATAATGTTCCACATGAAACACCTGTGGTGGACTTGACAGTCCTGACAAAATGTTCTTTAATCAAAGATAAATAATACTGTCCCTCCCGAATTCCTGGTAACTGTTTCAAAAACATATACACAGTTATGTAATAAAATAGGCCTGACGTATAAGGGACTATAGTAAGATCAAGTTAAATATTCATTATTCATATTGATTGAATAAGTACATTTGTGTTTTTTATGGCATTTGTATATTCATGCATAAAATGAAGGGGAACTTATACCAAGTAAATACAATAAAAATGAAACTCTCTCAGGTGGTACTCTATTTCATCGTCATAACCAATTAAAAAACCCAAATCGGGTACAGTGTTCATCTGAAACAGGTGATTAGAAAATATTGATAAAAGAATAAACATACTCATTAATATTATTATGATATATATAAGTGATATATATATATATATACTACTAAGTCCTGGGATCTTGTATATCAAGTGACAAGAAGGTCATGGAACATGTGTTTGAGTCCAGAACAAGCTCGCAAATGTGTTTCCTATCAACCACAAACATATAAAACAAAACATGAAAAAATGTACTGGGCAAAATCAAATTGCATATATTCATACGCATGCATGCACGTGCGCCCGCTTTCCGAACGAAAGAGTGACATCATTTTCATTTTAACAAATGTTTTCATTTTCATGTAAAGATAACATTTAGTGATTTGAAAACTGCAAGAAACGTAAAGATAAAGTAAAAATCTGTAAAG